CAAAAATGTTTTCTTCTCTAATGGAATTTGTAATCTAGTGGGAGAGAAAGTAATTAATCAAATAATATAACTAGATATATTATTTTGGGAAAAATTATTTGAAGGAAAAAGAAATACAACAGTATTGGGATAAGTAGCAGTAGGACCTGACCTTTCAGCGGGGTTCAGGAAAAGAAGACTTCATTGAGGAAGGAATGTATAAACTGAGAACTGAATGATTCAATGGCTAATAATTAGGGATTCAGATAGAAGGACTGGCATGTCCAAAGGCCTTGTAACAAAATAAAGCAGGAAGCTTATGAGGAACCCAAAGCAGGCTAGTATTGCTACGGAAGAGAGAGTGAAGAGAACGTGCTACAAGTTGTGGCCAGAAGGGTAAGCAGCTTCGTATCTCGTGGGCCATGTAAAGGTTTTATTCTCAATCATAAGAGCAAGGAAAAATTGTTGCATTATTTTAGAAAGGGGTAATGGGTTTATATTGCATTTTGAAAGGACTAATTTATTTACAATCTGGGAATGGATTGGAAGGCGAGTTGGGGATGGGAAGAACTTCTGGGAGGGAACTGCAGCCGTTCAGGTGAGGGACACTGGGCCAGCGTCGCAGCAGGAGAGAGAAAGGAAGGGGGAAAGTCTTGATTGTTGTTGAAGAAGATTGGCCCTGAGCCAACATCTGTTGCCGATCTTCCTCTTTTTGCTTGAGGAAGACTGTCCCTGAGCTAACATCTGTGCCAAGTCCTCCTCTATTTTGTATGTGGAACGCCACTGAAGCTTGGCTTGATGAGCGGTGCATAGGTCTGAGCCCAGGACCCAAACCCTCGAACCCCGGGCTGCCAAAGTGGAGCATGAACTTCACCACTATGCCACTGGGCTGGCTCCCCCAAAATCCAATTTTTAAAACTTTCATGTTAAACTATACAGGCATGCCTCATTTTCTGGTACTTTGTTTTATTGTGCTTCCAAGATACTGCATTTTTTACAAGACCCTCCCCCAGCAAAAAGATTATGACTCACTGAAGCCTCAGATGATGGTTAGCATATTTTTAGCATCTTTTAATGTATATACATTGTTATTTTAGATATAATGCGGTTGCACACTTAATATACTACAGTATAGTATAAACATAGCTTTTTTAACGTTTGATTTTACTTTATTTTTTAATGCATTTTATCTTTTTAAAAACATTTTCATAGGGGTTTTAATTTTTTAATTCACTTTCCAGTTTTTCTTTTAAATTATTTATTACTTTCTATTTCTCATACCTTAAGTAAGTTTGCTTACTTTTTTTTTAGCATTATTTGTTTTTTTTATTGCAGTGACATTGTTTATAACATTATATAAATTTCGGGTGTACATTGTTATATTTTGATTTCTGTGTAGATTACACTAGGAACACCACCCAAAGAGTAATTACAATCCATCCCCACACACGTGTGCCCTATCACCCCTTTCGCCCTCCACCTTCCCCCGCTTCCCCTCTGGTAACCACCAATCCAATCTCTGTTGCTTTGTGATTGTTTGTCATTATTTTTATCTTCTACTTATGAGTGAGATCATGTGGTATTTGACTTTCTCCCTCTGACTTATTTCACTCAGCATAATACCCTCAAGGTCCATCCATGTTGTCACAAATGGCCGGATTTCATCATTTCTTATGGCTGAATAGCATTCCATTGTGTATAAATACCACATCTTTTTTATCCATTCGTCCCTTGATGGGCACCTAGGTTGCTTCCAAGTCTTTGCTATCGTGAATAATGCTGCAATGAACATAGGGGTGCATGTATCTTTATGCCTTTGTGTTTTCAAGTTCTTTGGATAAATACCCAGCAGTGGGGTAGCTGGATCGTATGGTAGATCTATTCTTAATTTTCTGAGGATGCTCCATACTGCTTTCCATAGTGGCTGCATCAGTTTACACTCCCACCAGCAGTGTACGAGGGTTCCCTTCTCTCCACATCCTCTCCAACACTTGTTGTTTCCTGTCTTCTTGATTATAGCCATTCTGACCAGAGTGATGTGATAGCTCATTGTAGTTTTGATTTGCATTTCCCTGATAGTGATGTTGAGCATCTTTTCACGTGCCTGTTGGCCATCTGTGTATCTTCTATGGAGAAATCTCTGTTCAGATCTTTTGCCCATGTTTTAATTGGTTTGTTGGTTTTTTTGTTGTTGAGACATATGAGTGCTTTGTGTATTTTGGATTTTAACCCGTTATCGGATATATGGTTTGCAAATATCTTCTCCCAATTGTTAGGTTGTCTTTTCGTTTTGTTGACGGTTTCCTTTGCTGTGCAGAAGCTTTTTAGTTTGATGAAGTCCCATTTGTTTATTTTTTCTTTTGTTTCCCTTGCCTGGTCAGACATGGTACTTGAAAATATGCTGCTAAGACTGATGTCGAAGAGCGTGCTGCCTATGTTTTCTTCTAGAAGTTTCATGGTTTCAGGTCTTACATTCAAGTCTTTATCCATTTTGAGTTGATTTTTGTGCATGGTGTAAGATAACGGTCTACCTCATTCTTTTGCATGTGGCTGCCCAGTTTTCCCAACACCATTTATTGAAGAGACTTTCCTTTCTCCATTGTACATTCTTGGCTCCCTCGTTGGAAATTAGCTGTCCATACATATGTGGGTTTATTTCTGGGCTCTCGATTCTGTTCCATTGATCTGTGTGTCTCTTTTTGTGCCAGAACCATGCTGTTTTGGTTACTATAGCTTTGTAGTGTATTTTGAAATCAGGGAGTGTGATACCTCCAACTTTGTTCTTTTTTCTCAGGAATCCTTTGGCTATTTGGGGTCTTTTGTTGTTCCGTATAAATTTTAGGATTCTTTGTTCCATTTCTGTGAAAAATGTTGGAACTTTGATAGGGATTGCGTTGAATCTGTAGATTGCTTTAAGAAGTATGGACATTCTGGGGCTGGCCCCGTGGCCGAGTGGTTAAGTTCGCGCGCTCTGCTGCAGGCGGCCCAGTGTTTCGTCGGTTCGAATCCTGGGCGCGGACATGGCGCTGCTCGTCAGACCACGCTGAGGCAGCATCCCACATGCCACAACTAGAGGAACCCACAACGAAGAATACACAACTATGTACCGGGGGGCTTTGGGGAGAAAAAGGAAAAAATAAAATCTTTAAAAAAAAAAAAAAAAAGAAGTATGGACATTCTAACGATGTTAATTCTTCCAATCCAAGAGCATGGAATATCTTTCCATTTCTTTGTATCTTCTTCAGTTTCTTTGGACAATGTTTTATAGTTTTCTGTGTACAGATCTTTGACCTTTTGGTTAAGTTTATTCCTAGGTATTTTATTCCTTTTGTTGCAATTGTAAATGGGATCGTATTCTTGATTTCTCTTTCAGCTACTTCATTGTTAGTGTAGAGAAACACAACTGATTTTTGTATGTTGGTTTTGTATCCTGCAACTTGACCGTTTTCATTTATTATTTCTAAAAGTTTTTTAGTGGATTCTTAAGGGTTTTCTATATATAAAATCATAAATGTGGGTTTTGTATGCACTGGGAACCAAAAAACTCACGTGACTTGCTCTATTGTGCTATTTGCTTTATTATGGTGGTCTGGAACCAAGCCCGCAATATCTTTGAGGTATGTCTGTATTTGTAAATTTTGTCTTCAGGAGTGAAAAATCTTATCTAAGACTTAAGTAAAGGAAGACTTCAAAGTCATAACTTACTAATTTAAAAGGTTTATTATTTTAGATTAGGGCTGCTAAGCTTACTTTTGCGTTTTCTGTTAAAGGGACAACTCCTAAAGCAAATGAATAATGAAAACAGATAGCAAATAAAAGTGTCACGTGGCTAAGACATTGAGCCTGTAAAGCGTCTTAGACGGCTTTGTTCCGGGACCAATGATGCAACAGTGTAGGCAAAGTCGGAGACTCCCACACTGATGTTTGACAGGCTGTTTACAAATGAGTCTAACCCGGTCTTCAAACAAACCTCATTCAGACCATGCCGTTTAGCACAGTTCCCAAGAAATGTATGTGCAGTGGATTTTCTGTTATAAGATGTTGTTATTCTTAATTCTTTGTGATTCTGCACATCTAATTTACGTTAGTGATTGATTTTCATTACAATGAATTATAAGTTTTTTAATTGCCTTCTGAAAACAGGAAAGATTACCTAATCTTCAGAATAAGGAATATCTGTTGAGCACTACTGCTCCAGATTCTTTGCTGTCTGTCACCAATACATTGATACAGCCATGCTCGTGGCCACCTCATACTTTTGTTATTACTAATTCTATTTTGCCAAGAGTACACTGAGGCCTAGAGATATCCTAAAATTTTATAAAGTTCTTCAGCTAGTAAATGGTGGCATTGGGATTTGAACTTGCTTTTGAGGGGTTTAAAAATCCTTTTGTTGTACCATTAAACCACTCTTTTTCTATTATGGTTTTAGTTTACGTATTCATATTTTATAATTTTTTGAAATCGGTAGTGAAGATATGGCTTATACTTAACTCTGGCAAGGGAAACTACCTTACCAAATTTGTCAATTAACTTTACTAGAAAATACTTTAAAATTTGACTTATTTAAAAAATATAATATAGACTTTTCATTCATTCGTATAGGCCTTTCCCATAATTACTGTGGGGAAAAGGACAACCTTTTTTTAATTTTTATTGAGATTATAATAGTTTACAACCCTGTGAAATTTCAGTTGTACATTATTGTTTGTCAGTCATGTTGTAGGTGAACCCCTTCACCCTTTGTGCCCACCCCCAACCCCCCCTTTCTTCTGCTAACCACTAATCTGTTCTCTTTGTCTACGTGTTTAACTTCCACATATGAGTGGAGTCATACAGAGATTGTCCTTCTCCATCTGGCTTATTTCACTTAACATAATACCCTCAAGGAAAAAAGAACAATCTTAGTGTATTGTTTACTGATATTTCTTGTTCACTGATACGCACAGACCTACAGATACAGATGTCCCCCATTCCTGTAGAGAATGTTCTAAGCTTTTCTTGGTAATGTTATTTTACAGAAGGAGAACTTGAGGCAGAGTGGTTGCAAGATGTGGGTTTATCAACCCTGATCTCTGGTGATGAAGAGGAGGATGGGAAAGCCTTGCTCTCTACACTGACCCGAACCCAAGCAGCTGCAGTGAAAAAGAGATATAATACTTACACTCAGACCATGAGAAAAAAGAACAAGCAATCTGTCAGGGATGTCAGAGACATCTTTGGAGTCAGCGAATCTCCTGTGAGTAATGAACATGGCTCCCAAGGTGTCATTTGATTGTGGGGGAGGGGGAGGGGATGTGGCAGTAACGTCAGCAAAGGCTGGTTACCCTCTAGGTTTTAGAGAAAACTGAAGCAGACAGCTCAGTGTGCAATTTTACAAATATGACACTTAAGTGATCCTTCCTTATCTCCCATATGGCAATCTCCCTCAACACTAAATTTATTCCCTTCTTTGTTGTAGCTGGAGAATAACGTCTTTGGTATTGGAGCAAGTCTTTGTGGATAGGGTACACAGAGCCTTTACTTAAGTGTAAGTGCTGAACGGAACTGTGGACAGGCAAAGGAGTCCCGGAGGAGTGGGCCGTAGTATTATAAGCAAGTCCGGATGGTTTGTTCTAAATGTGGTGGAGGGAGAGTGGGTAGGGTAGTCTTTATGTTCAAATAAATTAAAATGGTAAAAAGTGAGAGATCCCAGCATTAATTAAGTGGGCAAGAGAATGACTCAAAAACCCTAAGAGAAGGATCACATGTTTTCTGAGAAATGGCTGGTTGAAATTCCAGCTTACCCTTCGCAGCTCCTTGACCACAATTTTGCTTCTGAGGTTATTACTCATGTTCTCCTGTTTCTGTTTGTTTAACTGCTAGCTCTGCCTTACAACTCATTCATTCGTTCATTCATTGCATCATTGCAATAATCGCATCATTGATGCAACAAATGCTTACTGGATGCATTCTCTGTGCAAGGTCCTATATTAGGCTTTACGTGGATAAGCTTCCTGGAACTTTGGGCGTCATTACTATACAGAAAAAAGGAAATGATATTCTGCTGCAGTTACGGATAAAGTTGCCTGGGACAAGTTAGTTAATCACTCTGATTTAGGTTTCTCATCTCTTTAATTGTAATGTCAACAATGACGCAAATGGAAACTTCAAGGATATTAGCTAGCAAGCATGGTTGAAGACAGTCTCCAGTTTGAGTTTCTTTCGGTTGCCTGTAAGTCATATCTTCTCTTAGACATATTAATGACATTGGGGAGTTGCTGGGGCAGCTCACATATACCAAGTTAACTTTTGTGTTTGCGCTAATAACATAAAGGTCGTGGAATAACAGTCCTTTAGAACTTTCTATGATGGTGGAAATGATTATTTCTGTGCTCTCCAATATGGTAGCCCCAGTTACAATATGGTACCCCAGTGCGGTGCTAGCACTTAAAATGTAGGTAGTGTAAGGAACTGAAAGTTAATTTTGTTTAATCTTAATCTATTTAAATCTAAATAGTCACATATGGCTTGGAGCTAATATACTGAACAGCACAGTTCTAGAATCTTCTACAGTATATAATGGTATACCTAAAGTAAGCAGATTTTGAGTTCTGAGTTGTTTGAACTTTTAACCTAGTTGAAACCTGTGTCTTTCTGGAAGGTAAGATTTTCTATAGCTGCAATTGAGTAAAGGCGACGCCCACAGCTTGAGGCAAGGGCTGCAGCCACGTGAATCCTGGCCAAGATGCCTATCAAAGAAAAGGTTTGCCCTGCTGGTTTCAGTTCCTTGGGTCATTTTTCAGTTATCTCCCAGATCATCTTGAGAGAGTCCTCAGAATTTGGCCTGCATGATTTTTCTCTTCCCTAGCAAACTACAAAGCAGGAAAGGTGTGTAGCTTCTCCTGAATCCTCCAGTTGCTCAGGAAAATGCATAACTCGCTTTCTTTAGGTTTCCTAAAACTTGGGACTTCTAGTCACATGGAAACAGAGTTCCTTCCTCTGCTTTCACTTTGACCCTGGTGGCAAACAGAAATTGGGCGCTTGCTCGGTGGGACTTTGCGTAATAAGAAATGAAGAGTCTCGTCCTTCTCCCTAGAACGCAGGCGCAATAAGCTGTCTGGTGTTTAACTCCAGCAAAGGCAGGGCGGGGGCCGTGCTTGTGGTGGGCGGGGGTTGGCTCCGGGGCTCCTCTCCTGTCCGCCTTCTCCTTCTCGCCTCCACTCTTACAGCTGAAGCGCCAGCTCTAGAGTGAACTGAGAATGGGGGACAAGGAGAGTGGTTGTGTCACAGGTGACAGAAAGCCTGTGTGTTCTGCAGGTAGAGGTCTTGTGCTGTCCTGAGAAATGGGCCATCTGGAAGTCAGTGAGAGCCTGGCCATGTAGACACTGCTTAAAATTTAGATTGTTCTTTGTCAAAAATGTAAAAAACCGTGCAAAGCTAGCCTTGTAAAAAAAATTGTATATTTACTATGTATAAGGCCTAATAAGCATCTTCACAGATTTTTTTTCCCTAAAAAATTAGCATCTACTTCTGCCAAGTAAAGAGACTTGGGAGCTTCTTAGGAATGCACCTAAATTTTCAGTCTCCTATTTGAGTTGGGCAGCATAAAGACCAGTTCCTGCCTCCCTCGTTTTCTTGCTCCGAGTGTCTGTCTGTCCTGGTCTGTCTGTTTGAGTGTGTGTGCCCCCTCCTTCTCTCTCTCTCTGCCTCTCCGTCTCCCTCCTTCATCCTCCCCTACTTTTTATTTCTTTCTGTCATCATTTACCTACATGAATACAACAGTTACCTGAAGTTTCCATTTCACTTTCTTAATGAAGATTTAAGGTCATTAAGTTTCATAAGATAATGTTGCATTAATCTTAGATATCTGAATCTGACCCAATATCCTTATCTAGTTAAGGTATAAATTCAATAATTTAAAAGATACATATGTAGATTATACTAGTTCTTTTCTTAAGTTTTTGCACATAGAATCCTGCGCTCAAAATCGTTTTTCTTCAGAATTTCGAAGAGATGTGTCCATCATCTTTCCTCAGGCACCGTTGCTGTGGGGAAGCACGGTGTCTAGATCAGTCTCCTTCCTTCATGTACAAATTTGGAAGCTTTTTGAATTTTATTTTTCTTGTTGGAACCTTAAGTTTGACCTTTGAAAACATTTCCTCCTGGTCACTACTGAGTGAACTCTTGAACGTGAGAGCTGGTTCGTTCTTCAGGTTCTGCATGTTTTCTTCCGACTCTTAAAACAGGTGTTTGCTCCCTCCGGCTCTCGCTGATCTCCTTGTGGGCCTCCTGTAAGGTGACCGCTATGTTGCTGGATTGAAGCGCAGGGTCTCTTAAGTGTTCCCTTGTGTTTTCCAAGTTTTGTTAGTGTGTGCGTTTGTTCTGCGTTCTCGGATATCCCTTCACCTTCATTTTTTATATCAGTAATTTGGCCATAGCTGTATTCATACTTCTGCCTTTCATTAATTTTTAATAATTTAACAGTCACACTGTTGGTTTTTGAAAGCCTCGCCTTTCCTCAGCGCCCCTTTGTTTTGGCGACCCGTGCTGGTTTCTTGGCTGCAGTGGCCTCTCGGCGCTCTGAGGGTGTAAATTAACCCTGAAATCCCAAGGCGCTCTTCTTGGCCTTGGCCTCTCTGCTTCCTTCAGGGTCATCTGTTTATTTTTGCCTTCCTTATTTTTGACATCATTACGTTGCTGTTGTTTAATTGATTTTGATCCTTGGGTGTTGATTCATATTTGTTAATGGAGGACTAGATTGAGTGATTGATTGATTAGTATAGGTAATGGCTATATATTTCCTACGCAGTTATGTACACCTGTTTTCTCCCAAAAACTCTCTTGAATAGGAGTCTGGGCCTGTGTGAGTGGTGAAGTGTGCCAGTGTCAACTGTTACACTTCACTTTGACAAATAATATGGCATCAATGCCAAAGGAACAAGAGTCCTGAAGAATTGTAATTTATTTCCTTTTCAGGCAAATGTAACTTCCCTTTTTATACTCCTGTCCATGCCCTTTTAGAGGCCTCAGTGAAGTACAATTCAACTTTCTTTCTGTCCAGGACCGCCACACCCATCCTAGGACAGCCACTCCCACCCAAGGCAGGTGTTACTCTGCCACCAAGAGGACACTTGGGTTTTATGCGGGAATCACAGTTAGCTGCTGCCTGCTGTTCGGTATTAGAGGGAGGAAAGGTCTCCTGGCCTCTTTGTTCAGAAAAACATTCTTCAATTACTCTGGTCATTGTCTTCTTACTTGGGGGATGTCTTCCTGCTTTTTATTTTCATTCCGGTTGTGTGCTTTTTCTGGATCAGCATTTACCTTCCACACATTTTTCTCTTGTACATTTTTTCATGCTGAGGTTTTCCTCTACCTTTATCAAACCATTCTTGCTTGCTTTTTGTCTTCCAGGGACATCCAACAATTTCTGTTCTGCTAATGGAAATGTCTAGTGGTTTCTAGATCTACTCTATGAAAAAGGTATTTCTGTTGACACTTGTGTGATTTGCAGAGGCAGGAGAAGGCGTTTGTGCACTTTGCTCTCTTGATCCAGTTTCCTTGTGCTAATTGTTCAAGAGCATTTGTTCCTTTCCAAAAAGTGGGGGTTTTTTTCCTTATTATAGTAATACAGAATGTTTTGGAAACTTAGAAAATATGGACAAGCAAGGTGGAAAATGACTATTTCTATGGGCCCAAATAAAATTTTATGATTTCATTAAATATACCATAAACTTAATTTTCAATGGAGTTCTTACCATAAAGGAATAGAATATTTAACCCTTGTTTTAGTAGAGCCATTATATGACTAAATATCAGAAACAAATCCACCTCTGGATACGTAACAAACTCTACAGTCCTGTTCCTCATGAACGGAATTCCAGTGTTTCAGTAGTCAGGAGATATGAATCAAATATTCCTTTCAGTAACGCATTTAACTGAGCAAAATAGTCAATCTAATTTATTTCCAATTTCATAATTGATAAACACTTAGTTAAAGGTGGGACTGATTTATAATTGACTGTATAAGTATAGTCATACGGTCAGTTTTAAAAAACATGATTATATCGCTTATGTGTACATTTGACTGCATGGAATAGAGAACCCAAGAAATCACGAGTTATACAAATGTAGGTTTGTTTTTCTCTCTTTAAGAAGAAGTTGAAGATAGGTATTCCTTTTCCATAGCATAGATCCAGCTTCCCTCTATCTTTCTATTTTCTCTTTCATAAGTGGCCTTCATTCCTTTGCCCAAGTTTT